GGGGGGGGGGGGGGAGGCCATTTCCCCAGCCATTGCTCCCAGCCGCATTATCTCCAGCTTCTGGTGCAGTCGAAACACCTGATTCTGGTACCTATAGGGGGTGCAGACATGCAGGTTGGGGTTGGGGTGGTTGCAGGGGGCAACTGGAGAAGGGGCTGCCAATGCTCAAGGCAGGGAGGGCTTGTGGGGAAACTGTCCCATGTGGGGGGCCATGACCAATGGGGGAATTATGGGAGGGCATGAGCCTCACCTTTCTTCCCGGACATTGGCCTCATTGACTCGCTGGGCCTCCAGTTGCTTCTCCTGCACCCACCGGGCCTCCAACTGGTCCCGTGCCTGCAGTGCCGCTCCCAGTGCCGTCCGCAACCCCTCAACCTCCTGCGACCGCTCCCACAGCTGGGCATGCAGCTCCTCACAATGCCCAGCCAGGCCTGCCAGCTCCCGGGCACAGCGCCCTGCCCTGCACCAGACATACAGGAGCATATCAGTTCCTTATAATCCCCTGGGGTGCCAGCCACTGACAAGGCAGCAACACAAGAACAAGAGGAGAAATGGGGGCAGCCCAGAAAGTCCCCAGAGGGTCATGAGGGTATGGGGGTACCAGGAGGGGTCAGGCATGCTGACAGGACTCCAAGGGGAGTCAGGGAGATGACCATTGGGCACCTGTGAGGTTGGAGACTCACCTGGCCCGTTGCTCCTTGCATTCGGCCTCACTGCGGTTCAAGGCATCACTCAGGTGGGCCACATGCTGGACTAGCTACATGGGAGACATGGGATGAGGGGGGTTAATGGCACAGATGCAGCTCCCTGCTCCACTATTCCACTCCCCCCAACTTACCGTGTTCTGAGCCCCCCGCAGCTCAGCCAACTCCACTGCATGCTGCAGCCGAAGAGACGCTATCTCCAGGCTGGTGCTGGGGAAAATGGGGGAGGGCTAGGTGAGTTCTGCCAGTGCCCCTCACTCCCAATCTGCAGCCCCTGCTAGCTCAGCCCTGGGCTCCCCCCAGCCCTGCCAGTGCCCCTCACTCCTGGCCCACAGCCCTGCTAGCCCAGCCCTGGACTCCCTCAGACCTGTCAGTGCCCCTCATGACCTGCAGCACCCTTTCTTTGGGGCAGAGCATTGGGGGTCTCATCTCTACCTGAATTCCTGGGTTCCAGCCTCCAGATGCAGATTGGCGGCCAGTAACTGCTCCAGGTCCCTGCACGCTGAAAGCTTTTCATCTGTAAATCAAGGAGGGAAAGGGGGCTGGGAACCAGGACTCCAGGTTTATCTCCCTGGCTCCGGGAGGAGTGTGAGGGCTGGTGTGGTTGAGTGCGGGGAGAGGAGACTGGGACCCAGAACTTCTGAGTTCTTTCCAAAGTTCATCTGCCAAATTAATCCTGCTTAGGGATCTGCAGTGGCTAGGGGAGAGACATGCTTCTCCGACCCTAGCACCAAGGCCAGATTAAGAAAGGGGCTTTAGGGGCAGCAGCTTGTGAAGACCAGAACTGCCTAGTGAAGGAAACAGCTCTGTGCACTGTTGTCTCTTCCCCCAGCCCCAGCTGGAGCCTGGTCACGGAACATGAAGAAGTTCTGGTCCCCCCAGCTCCCATTAGCCAGGAATCACAGCCAAAGGGAGCTGGGGGAAGTGGTGCCTGCAAGTGAGCACAGACAAGATGGACCAGCTGTGCCCCACCACCACCAAATGGGAGCTGCACCCCAAGTCATAGACTCATAGGGCTGGAAGAGACCTCAGGAGTCCAGCCCCTGCCCAAAGCAGGACCAACCCCAACTAAATCATCCCAGCCAGGGCTTTGTTAAGCCAAGACTGAAAAACCTCTAGGGATGGAGATTCCACCCCCTCCCTAGGGACCCATCCCAGCGCTTCCCCACCCTCCTAGGGAAATAGTTTTTCCTAATATCCAATTGAGCCCATTGCTCCTTGCTCTGCAGCTATCACCACTGAGAACTGCTTCCTAGAGCCCACATCCCAACTGTAAGCCGCCTCTGCGCCCTAACCCGTGCCCCCAGCAGCGTTTTGGCCGGGGCGGGGCACTGGCTGCCTGCCGGCTCGGGAGGGGAGGGGCGGGGCTGAGAGGGAGCTCAGGCCACGCCCCCACTCATGGTCATGCTCCAAGCCTTTTGCTCTGCAGCTATCACCACTGAGAACTGCTTCCTAGAGCCCACATCCCAACTGTAAGCCGCCTCTGCGCCCTAACCCGTGCCCCCAGCAGCGTTTTGGCCGGGGCGGGGCACTGGCTGCCTGCCGGCTCGGGAGGGGAGGGGCGGGGCTGAGAGGGAGCTCAGGCCACGCCCCCACTCATGGTCATGCTCCAAGCCTTGCCGTCTGATCGGGCCCCACCCATCCCGGTAAGGCTCCGCCCACACCGGC